AACCAGGAAAAAAAGGATACAGACTGTCTAATAAGGAGATGGGATTGGGAATGATGCCGTGGTCAACTTAACCTACATAAGCAGATATGAAAAACTTATTGTAAGTGGTATGAGCATTTACATGAGGACTGTGGCAACAGAAAATGACTATTTTTGAACCTAAGATTTTCTAACCAACAAACCACTGTTTAGATTTATCATAAACCAGGAACCATGAAGCAGAAGTCAGTTTCCAACCTGTCTATTTTCCACAGTAATAAGCAGCCTCCCATTCGTAGGTCTATATCCAAGAGGAATTAAAACATACACCCTCACAAAACTTGAACACAAATATCCATAGCAGCATTATTCATAATAGCCAAAAGTGGGAACAACCCAAATGTTCAATAGACAAGTGGATTAACAAAATGTGGTATATCTATACAATGGGATAGTATTGAGCAATAAAAAGAGATGAAGTGCTGAAACATGCTATGACATGGATGAGCCTTAAAAACAAGCTCAGTGAAAAAAACCAGAGACAAAAGGCCACCATGGCTCGGCACCTGTAGCACAGTGGTTATGGTGCCAGTCACATACACTAAGGATGGCCGGTTTGAATCTGGCCTGGGCCAGCTAAATGACAATGACAACTGCAACAGAAAACAGCAGGGCATTATGGTGGGCACCTGTAGTCCCAGCTACTTGGGAGACTGAAGCAAGAGAATTGCTTAAGCCCAAGAATTTGAGGTTGCTGTGAGCTATGACACTATGGCACTCTACTGAGGGCAACATAGTGAGACTCTGTCTCAAAAAAAAAAAAAAAAAGGCCACCGTGTTCTATGATTTAATTTATATGAAAATGTCCAAATCCATAAAGAAAGTAGATTAGTGGTTACTTAAGGCTGGCCATGACAAGTAACTGCTAATGGCTACAGAGTTTCTTTGGGGGTAATGGGATGAAATAGTAGTGATGTTTGCACAACTCTGTGAATATACTAAAAACCAATCAATTATATATTTCAAAGGGCAAGTTTTATGGTATGTGAATTACATCTCAAAGCTGGTAACAGGCTCAGTGCCTGTGGCTCAAGCGGCTAAGGCACCAGCCACATACACCTAAGGTGGCGGGTTTGAATCCCCAGGCCAGGCCTGCCAAACAACAATGATGGCTGCAACCAAATGCTGACCTTGTTGGTGGGGCTGGTGCTAGTGCTGCGTGAACTCCTTTCCCCTAGCCATTTGCACATGCGCAATAGGATGCCTGCGACCAAGGTTACCACACGCACACCTGCACAAGTGTGAATGGCTCAGAGAAAGGAGGTGTGGCAGATAAAAGGTATTCCAGTCTTCCTTACCGCTCCACACCGAAAAGCAGGGTGTGACTATGCAGCGTACCACTAGGTCTTATTATCGGGGCAGGGCTTATATTTAACAAATACATAGAAATCCTGCTAGGGCTTAATTTTGGGGTAGGTCTTATTTTCTGGGAAATACGGTATATGAACTTTATGGACACCCTGTATTTATGGAAAAATAATAATCACTGGCTATTTTCAAAACTTTTTTAAAAACAGCCAAAACTGTTTTGTCACAGTCAACTGTTTTGGCTGTGAGTGGGGCAAATGAGCATGGTAACATCTGTTAGTTATTATAATACAAATAGTGAAAGTTTCTCTGTAATGCTAAGTTTTTACTATGTACAGGCACTGGGCTAAGCACTTGGCATGCACCAACTAATGTAATCCTTGTAACAGCCATATGATGCTGACTTCATTATCTTCATTTTTTAGATGGGGAAATTGAGGTTAGGAGAGTTAAATAACTTGCCCATGAATGCACAGCTTCCAAGTTACAGAGCCAGATTTCAAGCAAGTCTAAATGCAAACTGCCTCTTATTGTGTGGACAGGAAATCCGTGTGGAGGTTTATTTATTCATCTGTTGTTTAGTTATATTTATAATTATAAGAGTTACCAATGGCAGTGCCAGAGAATTTACCACTCTACACCAAGCCACTCCAAATCTAAGAAAAAAACTATGTGCTTACTGTTAAAAATAATGTTCAGCAAGGTAAAATCATGACTCTTACAAATAAAACATGAAAGTTAGGGCGCAGTGGCTCACGTTTGTACTCCTAGCACTCTGGGAAGCTGAGGCGGGTGGATTGCCTAAGCTCACAAGTTGGAGACCAGCCTGAGCCAGAGCAAGACCTTGTCTCTAAAAATAGCTGGGCATTGTGGCGGGCGCCTGTAGTCCCAGCTACTTGGGAGGCTAAGGCAAGAGAATCACTTAAACCCAGGAGTTGGAGGTTGCTATGAGCTGTAATGCCATGGCACTCTACCCAGGGCTATAGCTTGAGGCTCTGTCTCAAAAAAACCCAAAAAAACCACATGAACATGTGGCTCAGCGCCCATAGCTCAGCAAGTAGGGCGCCAACCACATACACCAAAGTTGGCAGTTCAAGTCTGGCCTAGGCCAGCTAAACAACAATGATAACTGTAACAAAAAATAGCCGGGTGTGGTAGGTGCCTGTAGTCTCAGCTACTTGAGAGGCTAAGGCAAGAGAATCGCTTAAGCCCAAGACTTGGAGGTTGCTGTGAGCTATGATGCTATAGCACTCTACCAAGGGTGTCATAGTGAGTCTGTCTCAAAAAAAGAAAAAAACATGGAAAATGTATCAAACTTTCTATTTTACCCAGGGGCAGTGGCTCAGTAATCCTAGCACTCTGGGAGGCCAAGGGAGGATTGTTTTAGCTCAGGAAACCAGCCTGAGCAAGAGTGAGACCCTATCATCACTAAAAACAGAAAAATTAGCCAGGCGTGGTGGCAGGTCCTTAAGTCCTAGCTATTCTGGAGGCTGAGGCAAGAGGACTGCTTGAGCCCAAGAGTTTGAGGTTGCTGAGAGCTAGACTGACACTACAGCTCTCTACCCAGGGGAACAGAATGAGGCTCTGGCCCCACAACAAGCTAGCACTTGCCTAAAAAAAAACAGAGTTATCTTCATAAGCAGGCATATATTTGCTTCAAAATTCTAGATGTCTTCACTTCTCCTAATAGTGCTTGCCAAAGGCTCTAGTGAGCATCTCTATTTAACACTTCAAGTACCACTGGGTCTGTTGGATCATAAGACCCAAATGGTAGGGCAGCTTTACTGCGGCCTAAAGCTTCTGCAGAGCCTAATCCTTTTCTTTCTTTCTTTTTTTTTTTTGAGACAGAGTCTTACTTTGTCATCCTGGGTACAGTACCAGGGCATCACAGCTCACAGCAACCTCCAACTCTTGGGCTCAAGTGACTCTCTTGCTTCAGCCTCCCGAGTAGCTGGGACTACAGGTGCCCATCATAACACCTGGCTATTTTTAGAGATGGGGTCTCGTTCTTGCTCAGGCTGGTCTGGAACCTGTGAGCTCAGGCAATCCACCCACCTCCGCCTCCCAGAGTGCTACAACTACAGGCATGAGCCACTGTGCCCAACCCATCTTATTCTGGTCCTCCACCCACCAGCCTGTTTGTTGATTGGGTTGAAGTAAGAGCATTCAAATGTGGTATATCTTGCCTACAAAATTCAAAACAGTCTATTGCTGTGAACTGAATGTTTGTGTCCCCCAAACCCCAGTGTCATGGTATTAGGAGATGGGGCCTTTGGGAGGTGATTAGATCCTAAGGCTGGAACCCTCACGACTGTGACAAGTGTCCTGATAAGAGATCCTAGAGAGCTCTTAACCTCTTTTGCAAGGTGAGGACAAAAAAAAGGAAACTGTCGTCTGCAAACTAGGAAGCAAACCCTCACTAGACACAGAATCTGTCAGCAGCTTGATCTTGGACTTTTTAGCCAATAGAATTGTGTAAAATGAATTTCTGTTATTTATAAGCCACCCAGTCTACGGTATTGTGATAGCAGCTGAAATAGACTAAGACGCCTACCAAGCTCTGTGCCTCTTTTTTCTTTTAAGTGATACAAGATATAGCAACTCATTTTTTACTCTGAAAGGGATATTTCAAGATGCTCCAGACCACTGAGCCTCCAAAATTTCATAGCTAGCACCAATTCTGTATCAGTCTGGGTCCAATCAAGAGAAAGAAACCATACAGTAATATGAACAGATAAAGTTTAATATAAGAAGTATTACCTTTATCAGGGGATTGCAGTGATGAGGTCTTGCCCAATAAAAAGTAAAGAGAACTCTAAACAATATAAGAATGATAGTATAAGCAGTAGCCACTGCTCTAGAACTTAATACTCCTTCAACTTTTATTATATTCATCAACTAAACTGCACTGTTGGCCATTCCTTTGTCCACCCATCGCTATACTGCAGGGTCGTTTAGGTCAGGGAACACGTCTTGTTTTCTATTTTATCTCCAGTTCCCGAGGGAGAGGCCTAGCACCCCAAAGGCTCTAACTGTACATTCGAGAATGAGTGAATATAGCTAATGATGGCGGGGGATGAGGGTGGAAATCACCTGTTTCCTGCCACATGAGCTAACTCCAAAAACAGGAAGTCTCCAACACACACCTGGATGCTTCTGTCCAATTTGGAAATGCTGATAAGGCTGCAAAAGAGCCCTCCTTACAGGGCTGTGTGTAGCCTTTGCCACCCTCTCCTTAAAATATTAGAGGCACTAAGTGATTCTACATTATAAGCACCTGAAAGATGAGGGACTAAAGAATAAAAAACGGCTGAATTTGGGACAACTGGGAATTGAGACTGGGAGAAATGAATCAGGGAACAGCTGCTATGTTAAGAGGAGGCAAACACCCCCGCTCACACTGCCCCCTCAGGTTCTTAGTAGCCAGGCCTGGAACTAATCAGAAGAGTCTCACAACGTAAACACGCCACACCTCCGGGCCTCGTCTCCACCACTGTGACAGGTGCAGGTGGGATTCCCATCAAAGGCTCCTTTCAGAACCTAGAAAAGCAACTGCTGAGGCCCATCTGGGTGGCCTGGGCGGGGCCTTCCAGGGGGAGGCGCGGCCGGGCCTAGAAAACAGGCAGGAGGCCCAGGCCAGCAGCAGCTAGGCCATGGCAGACCCGTTGAGGGAGCGCACCGAGCGGCTGCTGACTGACTACCTGGAGTACTGCGCGCGGGATCCGACTGCCCCGGAGCCGACGCCGTCCTCGCCCGAGGCCGCCTTGCTGCGCTCCGTGACCGCCTATATACAGCAGCGCCACTGGTCCTTTTTCTCCGCCTACATAGGCTACCCCGGGAATCGCGTTCAGGTGGTGGAACGGATGGTGAAGGCTATGCTCTCAGACAACCAGAGACTCAACTGGGGCCGAGTGGTGACGCTCGTGACCTTCGCAGGGACGCTTCTACAGAGGCCTCCAGTAGAAGCCAGGCGGGAGAAGCAGGACAAGTCGCAACTGAAGGAGGGAGAAGACGAAGTCGCCAGGGATTGCCAGCGCCTAGTGGCCCTACTGAGCTCTCGGCTGGTGGGGCAGCACCGCGTTTGGCTGGAGGCTCAAGGCGGCTGGGTGAGCGACTCTGCACAGGGACACCGAGGGGGGCGGGGGGCAAGGTGTCTAGAAAGGTTTTTTTGTTTTTCTTTTTTTACTGTATCACTACAAATTTTACTCATAAACCCATCTTTGTAGTTGTCATTTATTATATAAAAAATTCCAATTATGAACCGGTTTGATCAATCAACTTCAACACTTTCTAGAAGACATGGTACAAAAAGGTTCGCTCAGAATCGCCCAGATCTTTCACGGTCTCGTGATCGTCTCCTGTCGCGCTCCCGTCCTCCACCACCACCACAGTCTCTCGACCGAGAACGACGCCCCCGAGACCGGGACCTCGACCTGTGCTTCTTGCGCCGGCGTCCGTACAGCTCGCGGCGCAGCTCTCTGGAAATGGGCTTCAAGTGCATGAAGTTACAGAAGCCGCCTCGCGTGCACTCCCCCATCTCGTACTGCCGGCAGCAGGCCTCCCTGAAGTCGGTCACTGGCGAGAGCTCAGCATGGATCGGCTGCCCGTTAAACCAACGGTTGTTCAAGTCGATCACTGCCTTTTCTGCGTCCTCTTCCCGGCGAAACTTGACGTACACGTTCCCCACCAGGTGGTCTCCCAGGTTATCACAGACGTTCATCTCCTCGACTTCCCCGTACTTCTCCTCCATTTCTGTAAAAACCTCCTCAAAAAACTCATCGTAGTGTTCCTGCATCTCGACATCGCTGACGGTACAGCGCAAGCCGTCGGCAGACTGAGAAGAGTTTTGAGGGTTACGGTAAATGTTCAAGAGGGCAATGGTCTGGCTAAAGGTCGGTTTATTGTGCAACCGAGAGCACCGGTCTCCATGACGACAAGCTCCAATTTTGAAATAAAACGAACAGTTGACTTTGTCTTTCTCGGTGCCGAAGATGGAAGCCAAGTATTCCGCCATTTCCTACACGCCGAAGACAACACAGACGCCGATTCTGCCGAAGCCACAAACGCGGCTCACTCTGCCAACGCAGCCGACGACCGGCTGCTGACTCTGCCGAAGCCGCAGAAGCTACTCACGCTGCCAACGCAGCCGACGACCACTTGCTGCCGACCAGCTGCCGCCGGGTGTACAGTAAGTACTCTCCCCGACAGCTCTGTCTGGGAATGCGGGAAAGAGCGTCGCTGCATCTCTTATACAAGACTCGGTGACTCTCTCCCCGCCCCCAATGGGGCGGTGCCATCCAATCCGGAGCCGCGCTATCCAATCCGGCGCCGCGCTACCTGCGCTGGGGCGGGACGTATCGTGATGGGCGGGGCATAGCGCAGGAGGTAGCTTCCGCTCCTTGGCGCTAGAGCCGGGCTCTCTCCCTCCTGCGCTCTTTGTGTTGTTGGACTGTGGCGGTCCCCTTATCCTAGAGCCGCTGACTGAGCTCCTCCGCGGAACGTCACGGGCTGGGGCGGGGAGTGGGGGGGTGTTTCAGCTCGCCCCGGCCGCGATAGCACTGGAAAGTCCAGGCATTCCGCTGCCGCGTGGGCCCTGTCGCCCTTAAAGCAAGAAGGCTCTTTTCAGCGGGACTGGAACGTTCGGTGTCAAGTCGGGTTTGTTCTCTCTTGGCAGTCGGACATGCAGGAATCGGCTTTGCTAGACGGCTGTTGGGAGCCCATTCAGAGGCAGCAGCGCCCGAGTTGGGTCTACACGCTGCGTCCTCACCCAGCCTCAGCCCGCCCTCGGGGGCTTTCAGGAAGCGCCGCCTTAGGTCTGGATGCTCTTCCTCAGAGACCTCCAACTTGTACAGTGAACGGCGGTGTGGCCCAGGCTACGTCAGGTTTTTTCTCCACCTATCACATGCACCTATGGAAAGACTCCGAACCCCACTGATGGATCACAGCACTTCTTAGGAAGAACCGGGGCCACAGGCTTTGGAATGTGCGTGGTTACTAGCGGTGGCGCTGAGTTTCCTTAACTTTCTTTGAGATGGAGTCTTGCTTTATTGTCCTAGTTGGTCGCGAACTCTTAGGCTGAAGCAATCCTCCCACTTATGTCTCCCTGGTGGTTTGTAACTGCTGGTGGGAGTTGGAGCTGCAACTCCAGCTGGTTCCTTAACTTCTAGTTCACTGCACTCACCTCTCAGCAGGGACCTGTACCTCTTGAGTTCTTATCTAGTTCCCCTGTTTGTTTCTTCTTCCTTACTGGAGTTGAATCAACACTGAAATGACTCTTTTATGGGATTAAATATAGTCAAACTATTAAAACCAACAATTTTCTTTTAAATCCATAACTTCCTGTGGGCAGATTCCATTTAGACTTCTTATAGTGGCTAATTGGGTTCCATTTGAAGAGAGAAAGATAACATGAGGTATTTGTGTTGGTCTTCAGCTCTCTGGGCATTTCTAGGAACCCCACTTAAGCCTTGTCTTAACCAGCATCTGGCCCCCTAAGGGCTCTCTCTGCACCTACAGGGGAAAGGGGGGCTGGAGGACATTGTTTTTTGACTTCATTTTTCTGGCTATTTAATACTAACTGAAGATTAATCTCAGCCAGGAGCGGTAGCTCACACCTGGAATCATAGAACTCATGGAGGCTACAGGAGGATTGCTTGAAGTCAGGAAAACAGCCTAAGCAACATAGTGAGACCCCTTCTCTACTAAAAATAGAGAAAATTAGCTTTGTGTTGTGGCAGGCACCTGTAGTCTCAGCTACTCACAAGGCTGAAGCAGGAAGATTACATGAAACCAGATGTTTGAGGTAGCTGTGAGACAGGATGATGCTATGCACTCTAGCCTGGGCAACAGAGTGAGACTATGTCTCAAAAAAAAAAAAAAAAGACCTAAAATTTCAAATTAGGGCAACAGGATTCACCCTCATCTTTGCCAGCTGCAGTTAAAATGCCACAGCTTGGGGTTCCATCCCCTTAAATGGAGCAGCTTGCTCTGTTCACAAGTGATAACTTTTCAATCTAGTGCTTTAACAGCTTCCCGAAGGGCATCTGTCTTTGGCTCAAAACAACCTAGATCAGTCCACCTTCCTAGTGGTTTGGAATCAAAATGAGTGTTGCTGCTCTACGTGACAGTTAAAGGGCTGGTTCTGTTCACTCCATTGGACCACTCCTTACCAATTCTAAATCTTCAGGATTCCTAATGACAGACTGCCTATTGGTCAGAATTACCTTTCCTCTTTAAGTTATTGTACTGTTTAATGTAGAAATTCCTGTATATTTTCAGCATTGTGAAGCAATCTAATTCTTCTCTTGTCTCTCACTTGTAGGATGGCTTTTGTCAGTTCTTCAGGACACCCTTACCGCTAGCTTTTTGGAGAAGATTGCTGTTCGAAGTTTTACTGTTGTGCTTTTTAGCAACGGTCTTCATCTATTTCTGGACACGACTTACTAGGAATGTTTAAATTTTTAACCCAGTTTTACCTGCCTAACTGACCAGCTAAGTAATGATTGGAGCTGAGAGAGCAAGAACTGAAGTAAACCACCTTCTCTGGGACATTTTTACCTGAATGTGCGCAAGGAGTCCTGAGGGGATCTGCTGGCTAGTGTCTTAACTAAAGACGAGTAATCAGAGGTGTTTGGAGAAGGACACAAATGGCTCTTCTTTGGAGGAACCAAAGGCTCCTTGTTCCAAAGAACTGCAGGAGAAATTGCATCCCATTAAATGAAAATATGGTGCTATTTGCTAAGTTTAGCTAAGACTGAATACAAGCCTCTCATCTATCCGTGAGATAGATACGCTGCTGCTAATTTTAATCATGGCCATGATTCAGGGGCAAAATGATCCCCAAATCAGTATAAGTCCCAGCTGAACAAAGAATGTAATATTAAAACCTTTGAAAAGGAATTCTTTGAAATCTAATTCTTTGAAACCAAAATTTTTTAAATCTAATTTCTGGGACTTTTTTTGTGTCAACATATTTATTTCTGATTTTAATAAATTGTTGAATAACTTCAAAGTTTTAATAAACTTATCTTTTTAAAAAAAATCGATCTTTTTGACTCAACTAGCCTTTTACCTTAGGAGTAACTTGAAATGAATCTATTTTTGTCTTCTTGAATATACAACACATAAAGATGCTTTTAAAAATATTTTATCAGGGGGTGGTGCCTGTAGCTCAAGCAGCTAAGGCACCAGCCACATACACCAGAGGTGGCAGGTTTGACTCTGTCCTGGGCCTGCCAAACAATGACAACTACAACCGAAAAATAGCCAGTCGTTGTGGCAGGCGCCTGTAGTCCCAGCTACTTGGGAGGCTAAGGCAAGAGAATCGCTTAAGCCCAGGAGTTGGAGGTTGTTGTGAGCTGTGACGCCAGGACATCTACCCAGGGCATTAGCTTGAGGCTCTGTCTCAAAAAAATACATATATATTTAATCAGGGCGGGGCCAGGTGGCTCCCGCCTGTAATCCTAGCACTGTGGCAGGTGGAAGCAGGAGGATCACTTGAGTTCATGAATTTGAGGCCAGACTGAGCAAAGGGACTCATGGTCTCAACTAAAAATAGAAAAATTAGCCTGTGTTGTATCTGTATTAGTAGTACCTGTAGCCTCAACTACTATAGGCTGAGGCAGGAGGATTGCTTAAGTCCAGAAATTTGAGACTGCTATGAGCTATCCTGATGTCACAGCACTCTACCCTGAGCAACAGAGTGACACTGTCTAAAAAACAAAACATTTAATCAACACAGAAGCTTGACGCCCTCCCTCTTCCACTTCAATCCTGTAGTCCACCTGCCAGGTGGTTAAGTACGCTGTCTCTCCAGACCTTCCTAACCTTCATTATGCTAACCTTTTATTAATCTTAACTGGACCTGTTTTTTGACTCAATCTTATGAGTTCTTTGTCTTCAGAACATGCACTCTGCCGTGTTGTTCTGACTATTGCAGTGAATATGTTGCAGAGGGAATGGCCAGAAAACAATGGCAAAAATATTTTTGGCCTTTCTCACTTTGGGGGAACTGAAACCTGCATTACTGCCTCAGGCTAGTGACAGAGAGGGGCAGGGAATGCCTCTTGTTCTTTGTGCCTCAGGGAAAGCTCAAGGGAATTGGCAGAGGGCACAGATAGAGAGCCTCTTAGCTGAAGATGGGATTAACCTGGGTGGAGGTCACAAGACTGTTGCACAGGCCTCGTGATTTGTTTTGGCCCAAGATGGAATTATGGTAGCGGTTCTCAACCTGTGGGTTGCGACCCTTTCACAGGGGTCACCTGAATACATCCTGCATATCAGATATTTACATTACGATTCATAACAGTAGCAAAATTACAGTTATGGAGTAGCAATGAAAATAATTTTATGGTTGGGGGTCACCACAACATGAGGAACTGTATTAAACTGTTGCGACGTTAGGAACCACTGAATTATGGGATCAGAACCTTTAAAAGCGCTGGATTTCTGCCCAGAAGCAGGAATTTGGATTTGAGACCAGTTTCCTCCTTTGCTGGCAAAGTGATAAACTTCTTTCTCCTCAAACCATTTGTCCCTCTTTTTCTGATGCAGCTTCAGGGGACAGGTGCCAAACTTTCAAGAACAAGAAGGAAGGCTTATTTTTCACACATGGTAAACATATACTATTTTCTAGCATGGGGATGCTTGTTCCACAAGCTAAGTACTTCTGGCTCAAAAGAGGAAAAATGGTTAGGATGATATATACCAATCGCTGTAACAATTTCAGCAATTTTGGGTGCTAATTTTTTTTCTTCTTTTAAGATAGAATCTCACTCGTTATTGCCCTGGCTAGAGTGCTGTGGCATCAGCTTAGCTCACAGCAAACCTCAAACTCCTGATGTAGCCGGAATTTTGCTCTCTGCTGAGTCCTTGATCTCAGGGTTCAAAGACTGAAACATGGACCACATGAATAAGCAAAAGGACAGGGTTTATTGACAGATAAAGAAATAGATACGAGAAAGGGGAGGAACAGAACTTCCAGGAATGGAAGGAGGGCCCAAGTGAGCAGCCTGTTTCTGTGGAGGGGTTATGTACTGCTTTTCCTATCCTGCAAGGGGGGGTGGGGAGGACTGGGGAACGTAAGTCTGAAACATGTCACAATTGACCCAGAAAATATTCCTAAAATTAGCAAAGGAATCCAGACCTCGAAGTCGTTACCCCAGGTGAAGCAGTAGGGTATGTGTCCCCTACTCCAGGAGGAATTGCCCTGATGCGATCCCCATCGGGTTGCTTTTTTCATCCTTGCTTGGGCCCAGAGAATGCAGCCTCAAAAGCGCCTGTTTGCACGTGGAGATGGAGTCTGTGATGAGACTGCTTTCTGAGCTCACCCAGGCCTAGAAAATGAAGGGAGTAGTCCTGTCCACCCTGAATGGGGAGCCCTGTATCAATGGGTTTAAGCAATCTTCCTACCTCAACCTTCCAAGTAGCTGGGACTATAGGTGCCTGCCACAATACCCAGCTAATTTTTCTATTTTTAGTAGAATTGGGATCTTGGTCTTACTCAAACGAATCTCAAACTCCTGATACATGTATAAAACAATGTTGTCCAACAATAAGCTGGAACTTTATTTTGCTGAGTTGCTAAAAAAAAAAAAAAAAGGTCCACCATTCTTTTCCCTACCCAAGGGGTAGGGATCCTCCCACCTTGGCCTCCCAGAGTGCTAGGATTACAGGTGTGAGCCACCAAATGTGGCTTTGGGAGCCAATTCTTTTTTTTTTTTTTTTTTTTGAGACAGAGCCTCAAGCTATCCCGCTGGGTAGAGTGCTGTAGCATCACAGCTCACAGCAACCTCCAACTCCTGGGCTCAAGCGAGTCTCCTGCCTCTGCCTTCCAAGTAGCTGGGACTGCAGGCACCCACCACAACACTGGGCTTTCAGTTGCAGCCTTCATTGTTGCTGGTTGGACCCAGGCTGGATTCAAACCCACCAACTCAGGTGTATGTGGCTGGCACCTTAGCTGCTTGAGCCACAGGCACTGAGCCCTTATCAGCCTTTTTTTTTTGTTCATGACATTTCTCCCACAAGACCATTCTTTCCCAACTGCAATCCCTCCATTTCTGATGTCTAATATCCATATTAAATTTTTATCTCCTCAGTGAAGTTTCATGCTAAGCACTGTCCAGAGGTGGCTTAAACTGCAGCTTTGGGTTTTAGTTCCTCCTTACCCTCCATCCCCTTCTCTCACTCCCTCAAGTGGGCTGTAAATTATTTTAAAAGCACTGTCTTCTACTACCCTCGACTCGGTATCAACATGAAGCCACTATGTTCAAATACTTACTAATGACCTTCCCTATCTGTTTAATGGCCCTCACAGAGGCACATCAATCATTAATGCATCATTGCTGTGTGCACGCATGGTGGTCTTACTTTTTTAATTTTCTTTATTTTTTTATTAATTTTTTTTACTTAGACATGTGTTTATTAGGTTTCCACTTTTTGCCTTCAATCAATCATTAATTGCTGTGTGCACATCATTGCTGTGTACACGCATGGTGGTCTTACTTTTTTAATTTTCTTTATTTTTTTATTAATTTTTTTTACATAGACACATGTTTATTAGGTTTCCACTTTTTGCCTTCATAAAATTAAAAAGGCTTAAAATTTAATA